AGTTGTGGAGCATATGCTGGTGTGTGACGACTGGTAAGGGCTGCGGCCTTCTAGTGTCTGTGGGTGGGTGCTCTCAGCTGCAGCCAGTCCGGCACCGTGGGCGCTAGCTACTGTCCAGTCGGCCTGACTCACGGTGACCTCATGCCCCACAGAACACACGCTGCCCAGCCGGGCCCACCCCCGTGAGCAGCTGCAGCCCCCGCCAGGGATCCCATGGGCCAAGTGCTGGGAGCGGATTGCCAGGCCTTTCTTCCTGGTCCTTCTGGGGCTGGAAGCTCTGCTGAAACCCATTCAGCATCACAGCCACACCCCAAGGCTCCCAGGACGGAGAGGTGGTGGCCGTGTACGGGGTGCACTGGGCAGGAGGGGAACCCGGGTCTCCCTCACGGAAGAGGAGGATCCTGCCGCGGCCCCACCGTGCCCCGGTCTAACCTCCAGCGGGGCGTCCCGTGTCCTGAGCCACACCACCGCTCACTCACCACAGTTTGTGTAGCCCACGACGGCGACGACAGGGAACTCCCGCCTCTGGCGCTGCTTCCGCAGAAGACACCTTTTCCTCCTGAGCCTCTCCAGGGCCCTCCTGATCTTCACCTCCTTTTCCTTCAAGAGACGCTGCTGCATTTCCACGAACGTTTCTCCTGCCAACACCCAGGATGGTAAACATCAGTGAGCAGACGTAGGAGAAGGTGAGTCAGTGGACACACGGGGCGGACCCCGAGTCAGCCGGCAGGCGCGGGAGGAGGCACAGGGGCTGTGCTGGGGGTGCCCTCGGGACAGAGTGGGGACTGGCCACTTGCACGGCGTCCACAGCGACTGGAGCATCCTGCCAGGCTCTACCCACCCCACGGCCGGCGCGGTCTCCCCAGCCCACGGCAGGTGGGCTCTTCCTGCCCTGGGGGAACCTGCTGGGGCAGTGAGGCGGGTTTCCTTGTGTGAGCCCCGTGAGGTCATAGAAGTCCCACTCACTCAGCACAGTCGGGCCTGGGAGAAGCCCCGGAAGAAGGGTTCTGACAGATGTTGGGCTGAGTGCTGGCCCCAAAGACACATCCACATCCCAACTCCACATGCACTCACTA